AGAGAGAGAGAGAGAGAGAGAGAGAGAGAGAGAGATTTAGACACGCACACTTACTCATTTTATTGGGAATACATCGATCACACAAAATGTTTTGTTACAATTATCTCATTGGTCTATCTCCACCTGCCTAGGCCATGCACACGGCCACCATATTTCCCACCCCTATTCTCTATTCTAATTAATTCTACCTCCATCCCTCAACCCCACCCCTCACCTTCAGTCGGCACCATATCCTGTACCCCCATTCCCAATGCCCATCTCTAACACCAAACTTTTCATCGTTTCTCTCACTCACAGGAGCACAGCAAGAGGTTGATGATGAAAGAGACGATGGACGAAATGCCCTTCGGTGCCGACCTCCACAAGATTAAACACCAACACCGGGATCCCATCATGAGGATCACCTTCATGCCCACAGTTGATCCTAACTCCAAGTTCATTGACTGGGGCTTTGGTATAAAGATGGAGTTTTGACAATTATCTGTCTCCAAAGTCGCAGAACTACACCGCTCTGGGGCTTTTTTTTATGACACCGTACTGTAATGTTCTCAAACAGCGCATCTGAGTTATCAGGAACATTTCCCTGAATGCAGTGTGTACATAAACAAAAATAAGGCTACGTCAGTAAAAAAAATATAATAAATTATTAGGACAAAATAAACCAATGCAATCCGCTGACTTTAAGACACCATGTATAAGCCGTAGCAATAGTAAACAGCGATGACAGTTGAAATTGTACAGGAAAGCTACCCATTTTAGAGGAGAAAATTAGTTGTCTTAAACAGGTTGTCGTCTTGGACGGCGTCAATACAATACATAAAAATGCAAGATGGAAGGCGGACGAGATCATTTGCACAAGTTGTTGTGGACATGTGACCATAAGCTCAGCTTCAACCGTATTTAATAAAAATGAAGTTCAGCGTCTGTGGTGTAATGGTTAGGCTCTTCGCCGAATACTCTAAATATGTAAGTCTATTTTATTGGATTTTTCTGTTTGTTTGCTGCATACCACTTAGCGCAGTTTGCCCCAGTAGGTAAGCTTGAACAACCCGCTCTCTACATTATATATTATCATGTGTCTAATGAAGACTTAAAACATCAAAACTTACTATTATTTTGTCACCAAGGTGGCATTTCGTCGGAAGGAACCTGTTCAACTTCGGGCAGTGTGTTCTGTTAGTTGAAAAAAAGTGTTTGCTCTCCGTAGGACTTGGGAAGGGGGGTTGTTTGTTTGTTGTTGTTGTTGTTGTGGGTTTGTTTGTTTTTGTTTGCTTTTGTTTGTTAGGTTTGTTTTGGGGTTGTTGTTGTTTTGTTGTTGTTGTTTTGTTTTTGGGGGTTTTTGGTGGTTTTTTTTTGGGGGGGGGGTATTCCCACAGGAACAGAACAACGAAGTGTGAATTGTTCTATTCCACTCCCTCCGATATTATGGGCATTTGGTTCCTCCTTTAAAACCTTAGGCCTTTTAAGGGGCGTTAAGCATATTACGCAACTTCGCACTATTTTCGCTCAGGGAAGTACATGATCTTGAGTCGAGAGGGGACGTTCTCCGTGTGGACGACCACCATGAAAAACATCAGCTACAACAACTTGGTGGTCGGGGATCACCAGAACCCGTCCTGGTTCCTCGACCTGGTCGCCCTCTACCACAACGGCTCCATTGCTGTGGCCACCACGGGTCGAGATATCGGCTTCTACGACTACACCAGGAGAGGATGGAGCAGAAAGTAAGACGTCTATGCCTACAATCTGATGTTGCATCCATAGACTCATATCATGATATCAACCCTAGAGCATGCACTCAGACGTGAGTTCAGCTCATTATTGAGCGCACCATCTGACTCAATTTGGAGGCATATAAAGGACAAAGAGGGACAGATGCTGCTCACATAGACAATAGCGAAATTGGTAGTTTTTTTCCCTTGATGCGCAAGCTTCACATTGATGTTTTTAAAGAAAGTTAAAAGCAGCGGCCATGACAATACATGGTCTAGGATATTATTATTTGAATTTTGGTTGTACCTCATCTTTACTCGTTGATTGAAATCCCTCACCCTCACCCTCACACTCCCCAATATAAACGTTATGATGTGCATCATTTATGTGCAACGGTCGTCTTTGGTGTAAAGCTATAAAGATTTGCGTTCAGTTTGCTCCGTTCGGACGTCGCAAAGAAACATTTTAGCAAATGTCCCACGTCATAATAACGAACCTCCTTCCATTCCCCTAGCACATCCTATAGCCTAGTGTCATTTTTAAAAAAGACTCTTAGTTGTAATATAGACAACACAGGAACGAATCCATCACAGGCAGTAGCGAAGCGTCTATATAATCAAATAATCACTGCTTCCCTTCCTAATTTTGAAACATTGCCGCAGTCAAATTTACCCTTAGACGTAAACCTCATAAATTAATGTAAAAAGACGCTCATAATCACCAGTGAACAGTATGCCTTACATTCAAAACGGTTTTATAGCCACAGAAATAGCCTGTTCACCCCTATCGTGCCACTTCAAAAGCAGTCGCAAGCTTTGATTAAGTGAGCCTACAGTGAGGCTGGAAGAGTCTACGAAAGAGTTGAAGGGAACATGTGTGCTACAGTTAAAACTGTTTCATTGCCACGCATACCCTGTTCACCCCTTTCGGGCCACAGTTATAAGCAGTCACAAGCACTGATTATGTCAGCGAACTTTTACACTGGTCGAGTCTACCTCACAGATGTGAGGGGAACTAACTCTTAATAATATCTTGACTGCTGCAAGTGCTTGGTTTTTTTCCTCGACTTTTTACCGTCCTATAATCAGATCGTGGCCTCGATTATGACACTGATTCCTGGCCGCGACACGCTAGACAAAAACAGCGAAATGTGAAATAAAATAAAAAAATAATTGTCATGTTCTACCAAAGAGTTTAGTCTCGCTGGTATTACATACTGTAGAACTGACATCTCTGCTTCTTTGCTTTGGGTTTGTGTATTCACATCTAAAGATAAATTTAATG